TTTTTCTATTATGTTTGCTGAAACTTTAATGACAATTTCCATAGCTATTCCTGGCTTTTCCTTTTTAGCAGTTCAATTGTATGCACCTCTTCACCGTGTAACGGTAATATTGTTCATCTCTTGAACTGCAAATGACTGGGAAGTTATTGCTGGTCTCCCTCTACTAGGAACTGGTATTCAGAGGGTCAACTGTGTTCAAATAGTCATGGAAAGGCATGACAGTTTCACCAGAGAATCTATCATCTGCCTGTAAAGCCTGGATTTGGGTTGAGGAGTTACAATGTCAGATCTGGCAAATAGGGCAAGCCAATGCCTGACTGAAAGAATCAACCATCACCACAATCATTCTGAGATAACACTTATGAAGGTGTTGTTGAGGGAATTAGTCAGGGAAAGAAATCTCACTGTACTTTACACAGTTCAAACTGATGAGAATTAAATACTTTTGATGATCTGGTTGTCTGAAATAAGATGCAGAAGACACATGTTATTTTTCTTTTCATTTTTTGTTAAGTAGATGGATGGTCATGGATACACTGTTCGGTAATGCACACATGCAATATTAGCGTAGCTCAGATACAGTAAGTATAGTGAACATTGTATACACAACAGTGTGTCCAAATTGCAGAGGAAACAAACTCTGGTCAAGTGAACATAATGTAAAAACTGTGGTAGCTCTCACTGACATTCAATACCATCTATTTACTTGTGAATGCATTAATGACAAAAATTGTCTCTGGGCATGTACATGCACTCTGTATCCTGATCAATGAAAAACCATAAGCAGGTATCAGAATGAGACCAGCAAGAAAATGTGAAAGCCTATTTCTCATTCCAAAGTTTTAAGAGAGACTTTTAAAATGAAAGAGAAACAGGAATTCATATCTTTTAAATCCCACTATGTGGTGCACTTCTAAACAGTGTGGGTGTTGAAGAACAGAACAGCAATCATCTGATGAACAGCTGCAATCTATGCTAACAACCTTACTGAAACCCATATTAAATTGAAATACTGGAGACCTTTTTTAAACACATAAAAAATCCCTCTGTGATTTTTTGGATAGCTGCTTTATCTGGCAACTAGATCTGTGCATATGATTCAATATTTATCAGTGATCATAACCGGTGAATTTGTAGTTCAGTAATACATAGGAACAATCTCTAGCTGGTATTAATGTAGTAACTATAATGTCTCTGATTTAAACTCTTCTTACAGCATCTAATAATGTTTTGAAAGGGAGCATTTGCTTAAGAGTGGCTTCTTTTCCCTTTCTTTTCCTTTTAGAATTTGTTTTTTTTTAAAGTATATAAGTCAGTAAGAATGAATATCACTGGAAATACTGGATCCCCAGGTTTGTAGTAAAAATTATGCAACAAGAATGGAGGGCTTCTTGCTCTGTAGGGCTTAGTTTTAACTTACTAATACAAAAATGCATTGCACTTCTGAGAACACAGAAGTAATGTCTTTTTGACATCACTATGTAGTTTTATAAGGTAATTTGTCAACTAAGTTTTATCTCAAGCTTACAAAACTACTTATCAAGATCTTAAAATTTTCCCGTTCTTCCTACAGACATCTAAATATCTAATATAAAGATCATAGTTTAAAGAGGGAAAGTACGTGAAATACACAACCATTTTCCTTTACCATCCCAGGAAAAAACAGGAGTTGTGTCTAAGCTGTCAGAAAAATCTCCTCATTCTTCTGCAGAGTCTCCCATCCTCTCCAAAGGGTAAAAAAGCATATTTTTTTTCCCTGTAATCAGTGGACTTTGGTGGGAAGGGAAGGAGGATTTGGGGGTAGCAGAGATGCATTCATCAAGCAGACTGTAGTCTCAAAGGAAGATGATGCTCTGGGATGTGTGGTCAAATTGAACGTGCAGTAGCTGAGTGTGAGCAGGAATCTGGGACTTGGTATTTATCATTTTACCCACTTCAGTATCATACATATTCTAGTGTTTTAACTGATTTCCACAGCAAGGTCTTGTGTCATGAGGTTATAAGAGTAGCTTACAAGTTTTAGGGCAACAAAATGTTCCCTTGTTAAAATGGCCTTTTGATTACCTATGGTAAAACGGAAGGGTGTTGACAACTGCAAACAAATTAGCTTTCAAGCAATGCACTAGACTTCGAGAATTCTTGTATGACATTAAGTTTCATGTAGGAGCTGTTCAGCATACTTGGAAATGATACCATTTTAAAGCTACCCATCATATAAGAAAATCAAGAACAATGTATATTTACAGGCTCTGAACACAGGAACTTCTCTTCCTAACCTTGCTAAGGGCCAGCATGCCAGAGTTGTCAACCATGCTACTCTTGTCTTGTCCAGACTTGCAGTACAACAGTTGGCAAATCCCAACCATTCACTGCCTCTGTATCACACACCAACAGCTCCGAAAAGCTGTAAGCATTTTGGATGACTGGATGGCCACCAGACTTACCGGGTGAATTTGATTTCTACTACAAAATTATGAAGAAAGAATGCCATAGTATTGATACAGCCACAATACCACCACAATAAGGTACAACACTACCATTTAGATATAAAAGGAAGTATTCACAACCACTTCATAGGGATTTGGCAAAAATAACTCCCAAGAAACTCACACAGAATTTATAAGACAAAGTCGTTCATGAATCAAAATGTCTGTCAGAGATATTGAGGAGTCACGCATGTTTCCTTTTCCGTTTACAACTCGCCTGTCCACAACTTCAATTCTTAACTACAGATCCCTCTCCGTCTATGCAGTTTACCTGTCTGTTAAGATAACAACCACTTTCTATAAATAAATGTTGGCAAGGTTGATTTTCACTGCATGTATAGCTGTTTACTTCTGAAAAGTATTTTTTGATATGCTGCATACGTTAATACATCCCTTAAAAAAATTTGCCAGTCACATCTGCAGTTTAAATGTTTCTTTCTAGAAGACAAACCCAGGCCAAGCAAGACAAAGAATCTGCTGATACACACATGTCACTTGAAGAATTCTCCTGACAAAGTTCCCACACCCAATTTAATTACTTCCCTACTGTAAAAACACTTTCCATCTGCATTCATTGTAATAGTTTCAAATCCAAAACTAACAGACTATAAAGCTAGCTAAATAAATGAATGATATTGGCCTTAGGTCCCAAGCCAGGAGCTATTCTGTAAGGCTGTGTGTCTCCAGCATTCATTTTTATGCTGATGTTTCATTTTATGTGCAGTGTTTTCACTTAAGCTGTGTTTAGAGAAGAATTACCTTGCTCTGGGCTCCAAAGTGTGAGTGCCACACAGAGCCCTCTAGTGTTGCTCCAGCCTGAGCTCTGCCAGAGATTTCCCTCCAAGACCAAAGTCACATTGTGACCAAAAATCCCACTTCAGGCGTATACACAGCACTGCACATGCTCAGGCTAGGAACATTAATTTCAACTTTATCTGATATATCCCCAAACTGAGGCTGCAGAACAAAAAAATGAAAAGTATTTGTTTGTAAATGCACCTTAAAAAATGAAACTACCAGATTTAGCCTGGTAATACGGGTTCACTTGTGCATTTGGGAGGAAAAAAAAGCATCCTATTCCTCAGACTTAGTATGAAGAATTTAATTACAGCTCATAAGAATTTCCTGATGTGCAGAGATAATGACAGTCCACAGGTTTGTTTCAATATCACACTCTGATGAAATTACATCACACTATGGACTTCATAATTCTTAAAAGCTTGGGATATAACAGTCTCATTTGGACAAGCACGACACTTAAAACTATGCACAAATATGAATGTTATGCTAAGTTGGGATTCTCCATGGCATCGAAATACTCAGAAAGAGCATGGTCTTTATAATAAATTTTAATCCAAAGCAGCAGCACAGCGGATACATTTTTCATTTAGAAGTTACAAGCACAGAAGGGTAAACCACACCTCCACTGAAGTCCAGGGCAAAACTGGTACTGACTTCACTGAAAGTGTATTTGGACATTGAACTGTGTATTCCCTTATATACATTCAGTTCTTACCAAATCAAATGAAAAGATAACTGACATGAGCTAATCAAAGAAATTCAGATAGTGCACAGTACAGCTTAAGTCACAGATACAATAACGGCCTTGGATATTGCACGTGACCCCCAGAGGATCCTGCTGCAACAGGAGCATAGTTAAGACATAGTTAAGGATGGGTTTGATGGGCAAACCTTGAATTATTTGACTTTTCTGAGTTCTAACCACAATGTTAGTGAAATATCGGGTTTATTTTGTGGTCGTCCCCTCCTAATTAAAGCTGCTGAGTTTTCGTGAAATTAAAATAGGTCTTCTAAACAGACACAAGACGAAGACAAAAAGCAGTGCAAACCACCAAAAACTGAGAAAACTATCCTTTGTAGCCCAACAGCTTACTAATCAACATGCATGCTTAATAGCACATCTAAAACAACTACCACTTTGCCTGCTCAAAATTATCCATACACATACATACATGTGCAAAATATAGAAGTTAAATCCATTTCCTTTTTCCACGTGAAATTAGGAAAAACTGTGCTTGAAAAGACTGTGGTTTTTAACGAATGTACGGCTTCTTCCCAGTTTATGAATACAGCATGTTTTTCAGATGTGAAAACAAAGAAGTTTTGGTAAGGGTGAATTTTCCCAAATAAAGACATAATTTTCCACACTGGAAATAAACTATATTTCAATAAACTTCAAGACTCAGGTATGCCAAAAAGGGATAAATTAAGAAACTGAGATTTGATTGCACAGATTTCCCTACACTATTTAATAGTTTGCGCTTTTTTAGTTGAAGAGCACAATTCTGTGTTATGACATCATCTAAACTCAATTACCTGGATGCTAGGCTGCATCTTTGACGGGAAAAAACCCCTCCAGAGTGAATAGCATTAAAACTGACCCAACCATTCGTTCTTAGCAAAATGTGACTCTGGTGTTCTGATGTTACATATCCGCAGCACAGCTCTGCCACCGTGCTGCAGTCAGCTGGCATTTGCCCTCCGGTACCATACCTGGGATTCTGCGTCTCTGAACCATCTGACTCTGTACACGGTTTCTTTACCTGCAAAAGCAAAGGAGTGCCAGTTACTCTCAAGTGAAACACAACTTCCTTGCTCACAGTTCACACACTTACAGTATGTCAAGTGGATCCTGCTCTGCTCACCATGATCTCTATAAAATACTTCCCGCACTTTACAGCAGCAGTATGCAGTACTAAACAGTGTGTTTCATTATTATCCCATGAACAGCTGCCAACTGCACTTCCCTAGGCTCCATTAGTATGTAAAATGTTCAGCTAAAATAGCTTGGGAGTAGTCTTAACTAGGAACAAAGAAACCAAAGAAACCAAAGAACCAGGTTCCCCACTTGGAAACGAGAAAGCCATACTGTTCTCAGCTTGGCCAAGAAATGTTTTTCCAGTTGATATTGCTTCTGTTTCCTGCTAAAGCTCACAATAATAAACACCAGGTTCTAGGGCAAAGTGCGCTGTTAGTTAAATATGAATAAATTCATATAGTAATTTTCATTTTGTGAATCTGCTAACTGTATGTTAACTATATTTTCCTATTGCATCAATGAACACTTACGCCATTTTCACTCATATTTGCAAGATGTAGGTACATAAAAGGTATTTCAATTTCCAATTTGATCTCTACGATACATTGCTGTAGGCTAATTGAAGGTGATCAAATCCATTGCTGTCAAATAAAAATAGAAAACTATACTCTTGCAGACTAGGTATCTCTTTGGGATCTTCATGATTTCCAGCAAAATTTAACCATACCTTCTGGTAATCTAAAGCACTTGTATTTTCAGCAGAGAAAAACCCATTTTGTTAATGCAGAATCCAGGGCTGTGTGGGAGGTTTCAAAGCTCCATTTTTAAAGTCATCTAGAAACATCACAGTCACTAGGACTCAAATGATGTGACTGACACAATACAAAAACCATTCGCATTACAACCAGCATGTTCAATGACAATTTTCAGGAATGCCTTGAATCAAGTGACTCTTCCATACTTTTCTGTTACTTTACAGGAAAAAAACCCTGTGACTGTGAGTCACTTCTATTGAAGTTATTGATAAATGACACTCACCAACTCAAACAGAAAAAAGGATTACACTAATGCTTAATATTTTCCCTAAATACCTCAACTAAATGCCATTCAAATCACTCATAGATGTCTAAGTACAAGCATTATTCTACAGGTGGCCATTTCTCTTATTCATTTGTGTTGTAGATACTGAAAAAGACCAATAAGTTCGCATACATGGTTATTCACAAAAATCAGATTTCTGTAGCAATAGTGAAAATTTCCCATGATAACAACTTAAATCTGTGTTTATTATTGTAACAGTGTCATCCAAAACACTAAAAAAGTAGGAAACACAAAGGAACTTCTAATTACATTTTGCATGATTTTTACTACAAACTTTTTTCAACCTATCCAGTTACTCACTTTCAGCCCTTCTAATTTTCCTCCTCTTAGATTGTTTCTTTACTATTTCTACTTTGCAATTCCATGGACTTATTAGTTACAGTGTGCTACAGAGAGATGAGATCGTGCAGTAGGTCAGCATGAGACACAGTGAAGGCTCACACAAACCCAAACCTCACAGACACTATTTGATAAACACTCAGGTACAAATATCATTGCTATAGTTTTATGTTCACTACATTATTATTAAAGTAGAGTAAGATGTGAAATATAATAAAATACTTCAGATACAACTACATGATCGAGTACCACAAAAAATGTCTTCAGTGTGTGTTATATACAAACAAGAGAAATATTTATTCAGATTACTGTACTGAGTGTCAACATCACAGTGAAGTGTTAAAAAATATATTCAAAATCATTTAAACACACTGAAATTACAACAGCCCTTCCTTGAGAGGAAATGTGTACTTTCAGAAGCACTTTATCTCAATCGAGCTACAGAGGATTTGGCCAGAAAAATATTTTCATTTCACATATAAAATATAATTTAAAATAATTAAAAACATAATGTATTTAGAACTATAAAATATAAAATACAATAACATAATAAAAATTAATTAAAATGTAAATATATTTCTCATAGAGATATAGTACAAGAGCTCCTTTTTCCATGTCCCTTTAACATCTACTCACTTCCAGGATATTTTTGCTATCTCCTTGCTGTTAAATTTACTGGCATTTATAGATTCCTTTTCCAATTTCTTTGCTGTTCTGTGGTTGCCACCAGACACGCTGTCTGTCACATTTGCACTGGGACACAGATCTCACTGCCCAGGTCAGGAAAGTTCAACCACTGATTTTAAGCAGTTGCTGGAGAGTCTGACAGTCACCCAGCGCATCCCACCACCCTAACTTTGCAAAATGATGGTATGTCCTGTGGTGGGCAACTACCACAGAAGCCCAAAGATAGTTCAACCAAACACTAACATTATCCGAACACTTTTAACATACATGATATAATAAGACCACGGGTTTATCTGTGCAGGGATGTGAGGCGCTTCTTCTCAGTTAAGCAGTAACTGGGTACTCACAGACGAGTTGTCCTCCTCCTGCTCACTCTACTACTGCATTTTGCTTTGACCAACATTACAAAGCAATTGAAATGTCTGAAAGATTATGCTTTATCTGTGTGGTAAACATTAAAAAAAACAAACACCACCACCACCCTCAAACAAAACAAAATCAACCAACCAAAACCAACCAACCAAACAAGCCCTGATACATTTTGGTATACCTTCAAAGGGAGTAGCAGAAAAGCCACTGACCAATTATATCAAAAAGACTCACCTCCTGTGAGATGCAACAAACTTGGGTGGGACAGGAAGTCAGTATTTTTTATTTACAAATATTGCAATGAAAACACAATACTTTAAAAAATAAGAATATTTCAGGTTTTCAGCATGACACACAGATGAAGCAGTTCATCTATTATCATTATCTAAGAAATGTGCAGCAGAAGTACAGAGTATAGACGTGTCTTTTCCTCTGAGACTAAATGTAAACTTCACTGTGTATGTTTATGGTCCCTCTTTGAGAGAAAAAATTTAATAAATAAAAATGTTATTTCTTAAAGGAGGAACAGGCATGTGATTTTCTTTCAAGTGGTCATATGGAATGCACACCATTTCTTTTTAAGGCTACTCAAGTAGCAAAACACATTTTCTTATTCATAAAATTATGCTACCCTTGAAGGTGAACAGAAAATCACTGTGAAAAATTTTGATCAAAGACTAAATGTTGTTTCCTTTGTATTCAGCTGTACTCTTTTATCTCTTAATCTGCTTGCTGACTGTTTTCAAAATAATTAACTTTCACTAACACCACATTTATTATTTACCTTCTCGTGTTAAATGAGAAAAAGAACCTTTTTCTTTACTCCTGCTCTGTTTTCCTTTCCCCCCCTCTCTGTTTACACAGGTTTTCTCACCATTTTAGTTATATGCATGTTAAGAATCATTCACAAGAGTAGGATACCAGTTTCAGTTTGAATTTTGTCAAACTGCACTGAACTCTCCCACTCTGGCTGCCTGCTACAAAATGTTTGGGAAGTTTCAGCTAAAAATCCGTACTTACAAATATTTTTGAAAACATGTCATGCCATTATGCTGCTGAATGGCTTTAGCACCTGAAAGTTGGAGGCAAAATCCCAAAACTGAAAGGGGGTGGGAGAGAGTAAGGTGTACAGATACCCAGGAACCATAATTTTTGTGAAATGGTGTCCGAATCTATTTCAGTTTTTAAGATTCTAAAAGCCCTGCTGTCACACTGTTAGTGGACTCCTGTTGCAGTCCGGCTATTGATTTTCTGAAGACCTTATCTGCATTGAACACTCTCCCGTCTCAAAGATGCTGGTACTGCATGAGCCTTAGGATTACTTCTCCTGAGTGCCAGGAGAACCCAATGCTATCAGGAAATTTGACATTACCAAAACTGTATCTCTTTGCTTTGTCAGTTCCATCTTCCACTGTTCAAGTACTCAGGCAATACCCTGAAAGAGAAAAACTTTGTAGACTCAAATACAGGGAGGAAGAGAGGAAACAACAGGGAGAGGGAACAGAAATCAGGAGAAGAAAGAAGAACGGGCTCTTCACAGGGGCAAAACTAGAGGAGAGAAGAAGGCAGGCGAAAAATGTGGCAAATGTAGGGGTGGGGTGTGGACAGTGGAAGAGTACTGGGGCTGGCTGGGATGGGACAGCACTGCACAGTTTGATCTCCTCTCTAGATTTGGGACTAACACCACAAAAACAAGCCTGACCACTCATCAGATACCTGTGAAAATCATTAGATAAATCATTAGTGACCAGTCTGCTCAAAGCAATGGCCTAGTTCTACTCCAGCTGCACTGAAGACCTAATTAACAATCCAAGCTGGGAAACTATACTTTGAACTTAGAAGATGGTGTATAAATGCTATGTTTATCCAGGAAAATGAAGGTCTCATTTGACTCAGACCGGGGAAAAAATAGTCAACATTTTATACACTTTCTGCCTTCATCTTTGCCTTGGTTCATCAGATTTCATATATGAACACTGTTAAAAGCATTTGATACTATGAGGGTACTGTGAAAAAGAGATGCATTTATTCATTAATCATAGAAGCACTTCAATAAAGGTATATGATAAATATTTACATGAGGGATGATTTGACATTAAGCATGGACTTTGGATGCTTCATGTTTAACAAACAGAGATTGCAGAACATGAAAAATCTAACTACACATTCACTGCAAAAAGAAGACATCCTCTGGAAAGCCTAGTATGTCAGTAATAAGATCTACACCATAATGCATATGAAGCTGGATTTCCACAGGCCATATTAATTCTGGCATTTCCTTGCTTCTGATGTTTTTCTTTGCAACATTAACATCTTTTAACATGATTTTATTGGACCTCATTACACTAGATGTTAAACCATGAAGCAGTTCTGCTCTATGAGGTGTTCTCACACTCCCTCTCTTTCACACACACACTCACACACACAGAGGTGGTATTAAACCCATAATGCAACACGTTACTTACAGTCACCGTGTGAAGGCGGCCGGAAAGTATGTAAAGCAGTAAG